TAGTCACAAAAGAAGAATTCACATAATATATTTCAACTTTAAAAATAAGTTCAAGCTGTGCCTGAGTGCAATTCTATAAAAATATTTTTGAAAAGTGAGTATCAATTCTTATGGTGAATTTTTTTTATAAGGATAAGGGTAATTATCAATAATATTTTGTTATTTATCTGTGCAATGGTTACGTGTTTACCTTTATCTAATATTATATACTAGATTGCGTTTATAATTTATAATTGATTGTTTTTAAATTTTTCATTAAGTTATTTTTATAATTTAATTAATATATTATTTTGTTCTATTATTATTTGTAACGATGTGTTATCATTTTATCTAATTCTATTTTTTCAATATACCTAATACTTGTAATTTTTTTGAAAAAACTGAGAAACCAGACTGTAATATTAATTTAAACACAACAAAATAAAACACTTCTTAAAGACAATAAAATTTTAAGATTTTTTTGTAATAAAATCTTAATTAGATAGGGTCTTTTATTAGTTTGTAATACTTATGAAAATATATATTTTATTTTTGTAATTTTTTCAATGACTAAATAGATTTGAATTAAATATTTATGGACTTGTTAGATTTAATTGATAGTTTAAGAACTAAATAGATTTTGATTTATATATAATTTAGGAACTGAATAGATTCAATTCATAGTTCAAAAATTAAGTAAATAATTTGATAATAAGTTAAAGAATAGAAAATGTAGTAAACCCGAGAAAATAACATTGATGTTGGCCTGTAAAAGTTGCGTATGGGTAATCGTATTCACATCCAAACTTCTCAAGATTTTCCTTTCATCAATAATATGCAATCAATAGGAAATTAATAAATAATCTCTTTAATTTTTCTTGTGTTCCTTGTTCAAATCTATGTTTTTATCATATGGTTTATTTCTTTGATTTAATCATGTGATCAAAAAGTGATTTACAAAACATTAAAGAGTGGGATAATAATTCCGGATCCACAAAAAACCATGACTGTTAAGACAATCTCAATTTAAGTTATATCCTGCATGTAACATAATTGCTTCTTCAAAAGCACACTCCAATTGTTTCACAAACAACAATTCAATTAGTTTTTCCCGGTGAAAAAATTAGACAATCAATCTTCCATTTCAAGTGAAGATAATCTTCCTTTCTAATTGGTTCTTATACTAGGATCTACAGCTTCAGAAGAACCAATGAGGCTTTTATTGACCTATACTATACGTACTTCAGGTGGATGAACCAATTAAGGACAACTAATTTCACTCAAAAGAGGTAGGTGAATAAAAGTAATTCACTGTATTTGGTTTGAGTTTTCTGAATTAAATTTTTTAAAAATTGAGTTTTTTGATTTTCGTGTTTTTTTGTTTTTAGTGAATATTTTTAAAATTTTAAATATTTTTTTTACTTTTTTAAATGCACCTTACTTAGATGTGTCTAAAAAGTAAAAAAATTTTGAAAAAATATTTTTAAAAATTAATAAATACATAAAAATACAAAAAATGTACTGAATTCTCATATTTTTTTGTA